CGTCCTCATGAGTCAGCGTCTGCTGCTAGTCCGTCATAGCGGACCTTAGATCCTAAGTGTAACTAGGCGGCACACACGGGGCGCCGCCACTGAAATTTTCTCTGCAAAAATAATGCAAACCAACAAAAAATATTCTGTGTGTAATAATTTCGTGTGATAAACGAATAGTCAGGAAAATTTAAACCTGTTTAACGAGCGATGACCATAGTAGACCGAAGCATATAAAAAGAAGCGGTCTGTACCAACTAGTACAAGCTAGTAACAAGAAGAGACTAGTTTCTTATCCAAACGTGAAGTAGTTGTACTTGAATTACTACAATCCACCGATCAAATCTAGGGTATCGTGCAAAATACTAGGAGTCCATCGCATTAGTACTTTAGTGTAGGCCTTCCATAGCAAAAATACTACTAGCATCCAGCGACGGCCTAGGTGCCGAATTAAAAAAGGGAATAAAGAAAAAAAAAGGAATCTCCCCTTGGATGGCCGTTGCCCGTGCGAGGATTTGTCCTCGGCTCTGTGATCCAGCGCTACATACGACAATGCGGCCAGCTGCTAGTTGATCTTTGGCTAGACCACGTCGTATACCAATACCAAAACCGAGATAGAACGCCGAATACCAAGGCATCTGGCAGCAAAATTTTAAACCTTGAGCTCAATCTAATCTGCGAACAAAGCTCGAAAACCAGCGATGGTTCTCACAAAAACTAACTAGTACAAAACAAATCTGACTGAAAAAATATCACCTGATTATCCATCAATCTGTGGCGATCATCTAGCAGGCTCTCAATGAAAGCACCAATGTCGGTTCAATATCCGGCATATCTCGTAGTAGGGGTCCTAAGCTAGGCGTCTTGGAACGATGGTAACATGGACACGGAGTTTTACCCAGCTTCGGGCTCTCTTGATGAGATAATACCCTACATGCTGCTTTTGATTGTATTCATATGGGTGTAGTACAGAGTACACGTATCTACCACGAGATTATAGTAATGAATATGATATTGTCCATTGACAAGCCTGGCCTCGGTTTATATAAGACACCTGAGGCGTAGGGTTTAGGAGAGTTCTTGTCTTGGGCGCCAAGTCTTGTGGAGTCTTCCTTGTATGCGGCAGGGGTTGTCCGAAATGGCCCATGAGTATGCGATCATGGGGGTCCTCGGCCCAATTAACTGATTGGGAGACGACGTGGTGATTACCCCTTAGTCCAGGACACCGTCAATGACCATCTATATTGGTCATTAACAACTAGAAATAAGGCAGCGGACCAGCGTTGTTTGCTTTATGACTATTTTGTGTAAGGAACTTACGACCTTTCTGACCAAAATGATCGCAATGGTTTAGGGTTTGGAGCCCTTCGAACAGTTTTTGACCAATTGATCTCAAATGGTCATAGATCTATGACCAATTCTGTCAGGGTCACTGACAAAAGGTCAATAATTGACATATTTCTTGTAGTGCACAGCACCGCCGCCCCGTGGTTATCTCCGTGGCTGCACCGATCTGCACCGCCACTGCGTTGCCCCTTCGGGCCGTAGTCCGCGGCACGTGATCCCCGCTGCCATCCTAAGGTCGTTCCCGTGGTTGCACCACCTCGCGCGTTGCCGCTGCGTCGCCCCTTCTGGTCATAGTGTCATGGCACGCGGTCAATCGCCGCACCGAGGCCGTCCGCTCAGGGCCGTCCTCAAGGCTGCACCGACCCTCGCGCTGCCGCGGCCTCGCTCCGTCAGGCCGTAGCGAGCGTGGCATGCGATCCCTGCAACCGCCCTGAGGTCTTCCCCGCCGTCGCCCCGACCTGCTCGCCGCCATTGCGTCGTCCCTTCGGGCCATAACGCATCGGCCCATGGTCCACCGCCGTCCACGCGCGTTGATTTCCACGTGATATGCGTCGCGCCGCCTCCCTTGACGTGGGAACGTCACCATCCGCGCCGATCTTCGTCACGTTGTCGGGTTGATTATCGCCTACTTCGAGCATCGTTGCTGTGCTCCTTCTCTAGCCGTCGCTGCCTCCCTTGACGTGGGAACGTCACCATCCGCGCCGATCTTCGTCACGTTGTCGGGTTGATTATCGCCTACTTCGAGCATCGTTGCTGTGCTCCTTCTCTAGCCGTCGCTGCCTCCTGAGGCCGCCACCGCCGCTGCTCTTCTTTCGCGGCTCCATGGCGACTACCTCGACACCGGCGACCCCCGACTCGACACCGACCACACCACGTATGCTCTCGGCTACCTCGACAAACGGCACAAAGGGCTACCGCCATGCTTGTGCAACCTCGTCGGTTTCCACTCCAGCCACGACTCCGCGATGCATCGACCGTTACGACTGTGGGGGGGTGTCCATCGGCTTGCCTTTGGATTCTTCTTCAGTCTCACCGTCTGCGTCGCTACCGTTGTGACTGCGGGGGGACGTTGAATATAATGTATATTAGGAAGTATAGGATAGACTAGGATCTGTTCCTGCCTTGTCTTATACTCCAAACTGGTCATTGTACTCCCATATATATGCCCACGAGGCGCAAGCAATACAACAACTATTCCATCAAACCCCTCTCTCCCTTCTAACAGCGACATTCAATAGTTAACCACGGCCACGGGTAATGATTCTTTTTCGATAAAGGGGGCTTTTATTCACGGGTAATGATTCTACAAATGGGTCTGCGGTCGGTGAGTTTAGTGTTCTGACTGGTCTTTTTTTTTCTATCTCCATTCTGGGGATCTTGAGATGCACAAAGGATCACTTACTCCCTCTGATCCATATTATTGTCACCGATGAACATTTTCTTGAACAAATAATCTCATCCTTCTAGATAAAATAGCAGATTATCACATTGTAGTACATTATTCTCTCCCTGAAAATAAAAGTGACTCGTATTGGGACGTGGAGTATCTGAGTTCGAGCTCATGAGCGCGGATGAACAATAAAAATCGAAGAAAACAAAAATAATTTTTTAAAAAATTCTAAATTTTTACGGTAAACTTTGACAAGTGCTTGCAAATTTTCATTATGAGATCACATTCGTGGAAGGTGTGACATCAAAACAAAATTGATGCTCCGGAAATGCTACTTTCGAAAGCATTTTGGAGCACTGATTTTGTTTTTCTCTACCCACGCTCTCCACAAATATGATCTCATGATAAAAAAAATACCAACACTTAGAACGTTTGTCAAGGTTTATCATAACCAAGCTCATTTGCGCTCCAGCTCAGAAGTTACTTTCGCTCACTGTCTACAATAACAACTCTTCCACCCATCAATGCCTACCCACCCCATGGCGGCTATGGTTCCAACAACTATAATTTATAGCTCCATTTGATCAAGGCAATTATTGATGATTAATTTTATGGTGCAACAACAAACTTACTGCAGAGTACTTTATGGCCCAACAGCGTATACTCCAAGAAAAACCATCCAAATTCAACGCACGGGATAGTGAGGAAAACAAAAGAGATGCGCCCAGATCAAACAATCATGGCCGATGCCGCTCTCGCCGATCACCCACCATGCCGCGTCGTGGCACTGCCGTACCCCGGCCGTGGCCACGTGAACGCGATGCTGAGCCTGTGCCGCCTGCTCGCCGCACGCGGCGTCGCCACCACGGTCATCCTCACCGAGGAGTGGGTTGGTCTGGTTGGCGCAGCAGAGCCGCTCCTACCGGCGTGCGTCCGCTTGACCGCCATCCCCAACGTCATCCCCTCGGAGCATGGCCGCGCAGCCGACTACCCTGGCTTCTCGGACGCCGTTAACACCAGGATGGAGGCCCCCGTGCAGCGGCTCCTCGAGGAGATGCTGCAGCTGCAATCACCGGATATGGCGGCAGTCGTGGTCGTGGCCGACTTCTTGTTGCAGTGGGCGGTGCCCATGGCGTTGAAAAGGGCCGTGAAGGCGTGCACGTTCTGCCCCTTCTCCGCCACCAACTTCGCGGCCCTGTACCACTTCGAGCGCCTCATGGCGGGCAGCAGCTTGGGCGTCGAGGGTGAGAGCGCCAACTCACAGCTTTCCCCTATTATTACTAGTGATGAAGATCTATTTCTGATGCGTGATGCATTTCCCCATTATATTGCAGATCCGATGTGGGATCAGTTCATCCCTGGTCAGACTTGCTTAACGATGCGCGAGTTTCAGCCGATCTTGTCCGGCGAGGCCAGTCGAGTGCGATTCAAGGCGAGAATTCGCAGTGCCCGGGCAGGTCAGTGCGTGCTCTTCTCCTCGTTTTACGAGCTCGAAGCCGGCGTCATGGACTCGCTCAGCTCAGAGCCTTCGTCGCCCCGCGTGTACTCGATTGGCCCCTGCATCCCTTACACCACACTCGGAGAAGAACCGCGAGACGAGTACTACTGGGCTTGGCTAGACACTCAGCCTGCAGGCTCCGTGCTGTACGTGTCGCTGGGCAGCTTCCTCTCGCTGCCACCCTCCCAGCTCGCCGAGCTCGCCATGGGGCTCGCCGCGAGCGGCGTCAAGTTCATGTGGGCGCTCCACGACCAAGCGCACTCGCAGGTGCGGCCGCTGCTGGGCGGCAACGGTAACGGGGTGCTCGTGCCGTGGTGCGACCAGCTCAAGGTGCTGTGCCATCCTTCCGTGGGGGGTTTCCTGACGCACTGTGGCATGAACTCCGTGCTGGAGGCGGTGTTTGCCGGCGTTCCGATGCTCACTCTTCCCATAGGCATGGACCAGCCGACCAACAGCCGCCTGGTCGTCGACGTGTGGAAGATTGGGTACAGTCTTAAAGAGAAGATGCAACCTGACGGCATCATCACGAGGGAGGCGATTGCGCGGGCCGTCGAGACGCTGATGAGCTCCTCTGATCTGCCACAGAGCAATGGGGTGAGGAGCAGAGCGCTTCTGTGGAGGGACGCTTCTCGCAGTGCCATCCAAGAGGGTGGATCTTCGTCCACAGACCTGAACTCTTTCTTAAGATGTATGATTTCTTAAGCTGGATGGAAATTCGTCCTGTGTACTAGTATATTTCAACACAATTGGTTGTATACATAAATAAACGTAACGAAGCTACTTGCCGGTGAAAGCTGAAGAACCGTAGGAATCCGTTGTGGTGTCATCGGACAACGTCACTCCGGCGCTGTATGCCGCGAGGTGCGCGAACGGGTTGCCCGGCGCGGCGATCTGCTCCTCCCCCTCCAGCATCCGCACCACATTGCCCATGGACGGCCTCTCCTCCGGCCGGTACTGCACGCACCACAGCGCCACCTTGCACATCCTCGCCGCCTTCTCCGTGGCGTCCAGGTCCCCCGCGGCCATCGCGCGTGCCAGCACGGCGTCCATCTCGCCGGCCTCGAACCGGTGCCACACCCACCGCGGGTACCACTCCTGGCTCTCGCGGCTGTGCAGCCCGAGCTCCAGGTTCCGCCGCCGACCCAGCATCTCAAACAGCAGCATCCCGTAGCTGTACACGTCGCACTTGTGCGTGACCGGCAGCGGCATCCATAGCTCCGGCGCCGCGTACCCGGGCGTGCCCCGCGCGCCCGTGATGGTCAGGTGGGTGTCCTCCCTGTCGCACAGCTTGGCGAGCCCGAAGTCGGACACCTTGGGCGCCATGTCGGCCCCGAGCAGCACGTTCTCCGGCTTGATGTCGTAGTGGATGATCCTGTGCTGGCACTCCTCGTGCAGGTACCGCACCGCCTTGGCCGTGCCGACGGCGATCTCTTGGAGCTTCTCGAAGCCGATGGCGCGGCCCTCCGGCGCCGGCGTGCCGAACAGGTGCCGGTCAAGCGAGCCGTTCTCCATGTACTCGTACACGAGCGCCTTCACCGCGGCGTCGAAGCAGAAGCCGTAGAGGCGGACGAGGTTGATGTGGTAGGTCCTCCCGATGGTGCCCACCTCCGCCATGAACTGCTCCTCCGCGCGCCTCCCGAGCGTGCTGTTGAGCACCTTCACGGCCACGGGCGTGCCGTTGGGAAACCTGCCCCTGTACACCACGCCGAAGCCGCCGGAGCCTAGCTTGTGCGCGAAGCCCTGGGTGAAGCCCCGCAGCTGCTGCGAGCTGAAGCGGACGGGCCGCTCGTTCTGGACACCCTCGATGAAGAAGCTCATGCTCCCCATCTCGACGTCCTCTGCGTCATCCGTGGCTCTCGGCGTGCTACCGGCGGCTGCTCCGTTGCCGAGCCACGCGTCCCGGTGACCGTCCTGCTTGTCTTCCTTCTGCAGATACATCTGCACGGCGACCTTGGCGCATAGGTAGATGGCGATCGTGGCGACCACTGTCACTATACCAGCGACCAGCACTCCAACTGCAAGATGTCAACCCAAAAACAGCTGAGAATCGACAGCGAATTAATCCAACAGCTGAGCATATCGTACTTACTGATTGACAAGGCGAGGATGCCGCTGCTAAGCGCCATGGCGATCAAGCAGCAACTTCGGGGGATCAGGAGATGTTGCCTCCTTGGACTTGGAGCGTCCTTTCGAGTGTCCGGGGATGAATGTGTTGCTTCCTTTGCCTGCAGCTGTATGCGTCATTCGACATTTCTGATATCTCGATTGTCAACTTTGTGGATGATCTGACGCGTACGTCTTGAAAGTGTGCAGCCAATAGCAAGGCCACTGGGGGATAAAACAATCGTCTGTGCCCAATCCGTTCTACATGGTTTGGTCAAAGAATTCGGATCAATTCAGGTGGTGAGAACGACGATTGCTAACCAGTTGACTACGTTTTTTTTTATACTTATTAGAGCATCTCCAGGCGCGCTAAACAAGCGCCGCGCCGTAAAATTACCCATTTTAGCACGCGCGCAATCACTAGTTTGTCTTCAGCGGGCGTGTAAAAATCGCGCGCGCGGCATATAGAGTTGGACGTGCGATCCAAATCGCTATCGCGCGCTGCGTATTTGGAGCACACGCTTCCGCGTGTGGCACGCACAAGCGCTCGCGCCGCACTCTCTTCCGCGCGCCACCTTCGCCCCGCACGCGCCGGCGCCGGCGAGCTGACCCGATGGACCCACGCGCCGGCACTCCCCTCACCCCATCCTACAGTCGCGAACCCTCCAGCGTCGGCGCCGCCGCCGCCGCCGCAAACCCTAGTGCTGGGAGCGTTGGCCGCGCCTCCGCCGGAGCTCCTCCGAGCATCGGCCTCGCGCGCCCCCTCTTCATGCCGTCGCGGATGACCTCGGCGGCTGGTGGCGTCGCGCAGGCGCCCGCCGTGATGAAGAACAAGGCGGCGGACAACTCCGGCACCTCCAAGTTCCCAAATGCGCCGCGACCGAAGAAGGGCAAGACATCCGCAAAGAAGAAGAAGGCGGTGGACGGCTCCGGCACCTCGAAGGCGCCGAGGAAGAAGCTTGCAGGGCGTGTAACGAGCGCGGCGGCTACCGAAGCGCCGGCGAGCTCACTTGTTGAGCCGGCGGCCGACGCGCACCATGTGTTCGACGATATGCCCCAAAGGTAAAAAAAATCCCGAACTTTTTTTTCCTTCTTTATTTTTTGAATGCATACATATAGATAGCTTATTGCATTGTTCTATATACTTTGTAGTGTGAACGATGATGCATACATGTCAACTATGGGTGTTGGCTCGAACAATTCGCATTGGTCTCAAACCAACGACATGCATTTTGAAGACCATGAGTTCGAGGTGGACGAAAATGATGAGGGCATTGCCGACACACTGAAAGGAAAAGCGGGCAATTACTCCAACGCCGAAGACATCTTAATATGCAATACTTGGTTGCAAGTGTCGAGGGATCCATCCATTGGAGGTGATTAAAGTAGAGATGCTTATTGGCTCCGGATGAAAGAATTCTTTGATCTTCTCAACGTGAGTGCAATTGACCGCTCAGGACGATCACTTCGCTCCCGATGGTCGACCATCAATAGGGATTGTCAACAATGGTCGGCCGCATAAAATGCGGTTGACAAGTTGAACCCAAGTGGCACCAATGATGATGATAGGGTAAGTGTGGTTTCATCATTCCTCATGTTCACATCATGCTTGTTGTTGATGTTTCTTGTGCTAAACTTGTTTTGTTTTCATATAGTTGAACATTGCACAAAACTTGTTCAAAGAAGAGGAGAAGAGGACCAAGAAGGGGAAGATCAAGAAAGGAAGGCCATTTTCCTTGCCTCATTGCTATGAAGCATTGAAGGATGATGAGAAATGGAAAAAGCGTGAGGATATTGATGATTTGGATTTGAGCAAAAAACGCAAGCGAACAATTGATTTGGAAGATGATGATGAGGATGATGCATCAAGTGAAGATGGCAAGAGAAGCCCCACCCCAAACTCGGTTTCATACTCGAAGCCAAAACAATCGGATGGCACGAAAAAGGACAAAGAAAAGAAGAAGAGGAAAGGAGACGATGAGATCAAAAATGCTATGAAAGCAATTGTCAATGCAAGAAGAGAAGCCAAGGAGGTGAGGAAAATGCCAAGGAACCAAGATGTCGCGGCCGAGGAGAGGAGGTTGGCGGCCGAGGAGAGGAGGGTGGCCGCCTAGGAGAGGGAAGTGGCATTGGAGGAGAGGAAGATGACCATGGAGGAGCGAGCTAAGTTATTGGAATGGGAGAAGCACTTGTTCTTCTTGGGCACATCCTTGTTCAATGATGCGCAAAAGGAGTATGTCAACCTTGCCCGTGAAGAAGTCTTGATCCAAAAAAGAGCCATGATTGGCGGCATGGGTGGCGGTGGCCTTGCCGGCATGGGTGGCAGTGGCGGCATGGGTGCCGGTGGCTTTGGCGGCATGGGTTCCATGGGTGGCTTTGGAGCTACCTTGGCATGCATGAGTTCTATGGTGGCTTTGGAGCTACCATGGAGACCATGAGAGGCATGGGTGGCTTTGGAGCACCTCTGGGCGGCTTGGACGGCATGGGTGGCATGGGTGGTATGAGTTTTGTGTCTCTCATTGGGGGCATGGGTGCACCTCCGGACATCGGCGTGCCACCTTCGCACGAAGATGCCGTTCAAGATTTTGGCAACACCTTCCGAGCTTCACATGATGATGATATGGCGCACAACAATGAAAAGGAGGAGGAAGACTCGTCTTTGAAGGAGAAAGAATCGTCTTCGGAGGAAGAGGATGAAGACGAAGACGAGGACAAAGCTTGATTCTTGTGTCTTTCGTTTGTGTCATCATAAACTTGGTTTGCATGTTAAACTTGGTTTAATTATTTTGTGTGCATGAATTTGAACTTGTGGGCATGAACTTTTGGGCACGGATTTAGTTAGAATGATGTTTGTGATTCAATATATGCCATGTGTTTTGTGTTGAAGTATGAAATTTATGCCTAAAATGAATAAATGTGTGCACCGGCTGCTCGCGCGTGCTGTTGGAGCAGCGCGAGCGTGTCACATTTTAGCGCTTCTGCTAGAGCAAGCGCTGCGCGACGCACCAAACCCGGTGTTGCGCGCGCCGCAAACCAGATTTTAACACGCCGCGTGTTGGGCGCCTGTTGGAGATACTCTCATGTGATGTGTTATTATGGTCTCCATGTCACACGCTTACCCCAAACCACGTGGAAGTACGTATGCATATGTTAATGATCCAAACTGCTACGTGTTTTCTGAAACAGCGTATTTAATCTTCTGGTAAGTCGAACGGGATCGAGCTTTCTTCGCCACCACGACATGAAAGGTAAGTCTTCACAGAATTCAAAGGATGCTTGCATCTTTTTTTTTAACAAGAAACGAACATCGAGAACGAGGTATACTGATAATCAGACGGAGCCTGCCCGAGTGGGCGGATGAACAACGTGGAGCTTACCTGAGAACTAGCACCGACCGGTTTACCTGCTGATCGCTGCTAAATAGCTGCGGCTGTTTCTTTCATAGTATCTCCTTATGACATGTATAATGGTGTTATCTTAGGAGTCCCACCTAGGATAAATGATGAGGTGAAGGAGAGAGAACTCATAAAAAAAGGCTTGTCTTCTCTTATTTAAGAGAAGACAAGAGATGATCTCTTAGCATAATTTGTCTCACCATATTTTTAGTAATGACTAGTTATTGAAGATAAGGCTAAAAGATGACCCATTGTAGACATTGTTTTTTGTCATCTCTAAATTACATGCAAGATTAAGATAAGACCGTCTTATCAACCATTGTACATGCCCTAGGTGTTTGTAGTTTCTCGTTCAGCTACTTTGGCTTGCAGTTGACTGATTCTGGGTGAGTGACAGTGTGACGGCCCAACCCACTACCCCGACTCAGGCCCATGATAACGGCGGCCGAGAGGAATGGGGCCGACGCCCGTAAGCCCAGCACCCGCTTTCTACATAGGTCACCCGACCACGTACCGGCTAGGGGAGCAACTAATTGGCGAGCGCTTTTTTGGGAGCCTCACAACGATCAACGCCACTTGGCGCGCTCTCAGCCGCCCGCCACGTGTCGCGCTCTGGGCGCTCTCTCTGGATTTTATTTTTATTTTTTCACACATGTTTTCGGCTTTTTAAATGATTTTTTGGTTTTTTTTCGACGTTTGGTTTTCCACCGACCTTCCTTAGCTTTTGGATAAAAAATAGAAAAATATGTTTATTTTTTCTGCGAAAAACCACGTTTTCCTTTTTTTTTTTCTTTCTTTCACGAGAGTCATGGTTTTGCTTCTGCGAGGGCATGGTTTTGCTTTCGTCAGTCTTGGTCGTGCCTCTTGAAAATGAAAAAAAAACGCGTTTTCTATTTTTTTTCTTCCGCGAGAGGCACGGTTTTGCTTCGGCGAGAGGCACGGTTGTACTTTCATGAGAGTCAAGGTCGTGCCTCTCGGAAACAAAAAAAAACTCTTTTTCTGTTTTATTTTCCTTCTGCGAGAGGCATGGTTTTGCTTCCGCGCGAAGCACGGTTGTGCTTTCGCGAGAGGCACGGTCGTGCCTCTCGGAAACGGAAAAGAAAAATGTGTTTTCTGTTTTTTTTCCTTACGCAAGAGGCACGATTTTGCATACACGAGAGGCACGGTTGTGATTTCGCGTGAGGTACGGGTGTGCCTCTTTTGAAAGGGAAAAAACCCAAGCTCCTGGTTTGGTATTTTCGTTCAGTTTTTTCCATGAAAAAAGTTCGTCAAAACCTATCAACATTGAATCTAGTTTTGAAGATCTCGACGCGAGGAATTCAATGTTGAAAACGGTTCAAGATTTGGACGCACGGTTTAAGGGATAAAACATTTTGAATAAAAGGATCTACGAAAAAAGGAAAAACTCTCATGTTGCAACAAGTGGCGCACATGCAGCACCACTTGTCGCAACTTGGGAAGGTGTGAGTGATCTTTGCAATGAGTACTCCTCAATTAATGATTTCGACCGGGTAGGCATACGTCTTCCCGCTGGAGAAGGGGAGCCCCTATATCTCGCCTTCAGCCAGAGGGTAGGAACCCTCGCAGAACGGGAGACCGAGATGCGCCGGCCGAGGAGCGTTGGTGCC